ACCAGGCCACAGAGTCGGGTAGAGGAAACCCGCTGGGAGGAGTCAGAAAGGCGAGGAGGGGGAAAAGAGAGAGAGAGACACACACACAGAGGGACCCTAAGCACAAAGCAGACGAAAGGAGAGAGGAGACAGATGGTGGGGTGCAAAGGGAGGCTGGGACAGAAAAAGTGTGCAGGGAACTGAGGTGGAGTGAGGGGGAGGAGAGAGGGAGGGGATGGGGCTAAAGAGAGAGCTGAACAGGGCAAGTGCAGGGCTGCAGCACACAGCTGGGGCAGCAGTCCTGGGAGCCTCTGAGGCTCTGGAGATCTTGGGAGTTGATTGATGACTTGAGAAGGGGTGCATTGGGACAAGGGGCTAGTCAGGGGGACCAGCAGAGCAGGAGAGATTCTCCCCCACCCCAGCTGTAGCCACCCATCCCCAGGTGAGCCCCCCTTTCCCCCTGTTGGATGTGAAATCGCCATTTCACCCCGCCACACTTCTTAATTGTTGCAAAAATCATTTGTGAAATTGGTCTCCAACAGGCAAGAACGGCCACGCTCATTCTGACAGACAACCCCGCTTCCTCCCCCGTGGTGCCCGCCCTGCCTGGGCTCAGGGGATCCCCAGCTGCAGGAAGGCAGTGTGGCCAGCGCGGGGCCTGGGCAGTGAGCCTCTGTCTCTGTGTCTTCCTCCCTGGAGGGTAGAACGTAGAAGATGCCTCAAGGACAAGGTGGCCCCCAACTACCGGTCTGAGGATCCCAGCAGCACCTGCCCTGCACAAGGTGACCAGCTGGGTGTCTGTCCCACTCCACCCATGTACCAGTTGCAGGGCTGATAACAGAGAAACTGTGCCTGACAACCCAGGTGGCAGGCAACCGCCCCCCCCCAGAGGAGCTAATCAAAATAGAGACCACCACCCCTTCCCAAACTTTGCTTAGAGCTATGCTTAACATACATGGAATCCGCAACATAACACCTCTGTTGAGGGACCCACATTTAATTTACCAAGACTGACTCAATACAGATCTACAGAGAACCCCACCTGCACATAAAAACCTAAATATGCCAGCGAAAGCCACTACGCTCACCCATGAGTACACTGGGACCAGGCCATAGAAGGTACCTAAAAACCTGCCATGCCAGAAGGTGGATGGATGGAAAGACAGATGGATGACAGGATGAGAACACATCAAGTGTGTGTTGTATAAGTTTAGAGAGAGAGAGAGGGACATAGACATGTTTTTATAAAAATCAGTATCTGGGGCCGGAGAGATGGCTCAGTGCTTAAGAGTACTGACTGCTCTTTCAAGGACCTGGGTTCAATTCCCAGTACCCACAGGGAGGCTCACAACTGTCTGTAATTCTAGTTTCAGAGAACCTAACACGCATGGCAAAATGCCAATGCACATAAACTAATCAATTAATTTTTAAAAATGAATATCCACTTCAAGACAAAACAGGCTAGGTTCCCAGCAAGTTTCCTTTTTCCCTGGACAAACTACAGGCTAAAAACTCTCACGCCCCACCTGGCTGTTGAGGGCGCCTGTGGCTCAAGCAACAGAGTCGAACACTAAATGGTCTCTCCCCTCTTCCCATTCAATCCTGCAAGCGTGTATTTAACAAGCTTTTCCACAGGGCTCCCATCCCCGGAAAGCCTGCCCCCAAAAGTCTGACGCCACCCCCCCCCATGGTAGGAGAAAGGGTCAGTAGCATGCTGAGAGGGGCAAAGGTCACAGGTGAGAAGGAGGGAAAGGAAGAAGACACACTGGGGCCAGCCGGCAGAGAGCACCCCCCAGGCCAACACCAGACTGACCCTCTCCGCCACCAGGAGAAGGCGGGGAGTTTGGGGGGATGGATTTATTTTATTGTATTTTACCTCCAGGGCTGGACCAGCGAGGCGTATTCCTGGAGTGTTGGGGGCGTGCGGGGGTAGGGGGGCGAGACACAAAAGGTCTGTGGTAGTGGCGTCCTACCCTGCTGGGAGGGCGGTTCACCCCTAGGAATCTATGTCCTGAGGCTGAGACCTGGTTACTCTGGCTTAGGAGAGCAGAGAATTGTGGGACCTCTGACCAAACCCACACGCACTCTGGACCATCTAATTGGGGGACCCCACCCCCACCCAGCCCACCAGTGGAGGAGTTGAGTTGGTACCAAGCTCTGCCCAGCCATCTCCTGCTCATCTCCCACCAGTCTCCCAGATCCACAGCCTTGCGGGTGTGCTTTCCGGACACCCAGCAGTTTTCTAGTAAGGGGTCCTAGGTGGTGGCCTAGGAAACGGAGAAGGGGGAGCTGAAAAGAGGAGGCAGAGAGGTTTGGCAAACCCAGGTTTGCCACCACCGGGCTAGCTATGTCCTGCTAGGTTTCTTCGAGCTGCCAGGCCAGACCAGAGCAGTAAAGCCCCGAGGTCGTACCAGAAAAGTAAAAATCTTTCTCTGGACATCACCCCAGTATGTTCCCCCAGGGAGGGAGTCGCTGTCAAGGAAAGTTCAGAGCTGGTGAGTTAAAAAGAGAAGAGGTGGGAAAGATGCCCTCTACTCCGGGAGGTGGGGGACCGCAGGAGAGGACAGAGGTGCGCCCCTGCACAAGGCCCGCTTTCCTAGACAGCAGGGAGACACTTGAGGGCTGGGAGCACGAGACCCGCCAGTTCATCTCTTGACCACACTTGTACGAAGTTGTCCCCGCCCTCTCTCGGGCACCCCCAGCCCACCCCATCCCTGGACTCTGTTCCCTCTATTTTCACCAGAGGTTCAAATTATCTCCCTCCCCTAACATCCCCTGCAGAGAGAGAGAGAGAGAGAGAGAGAGAGAGAGAGAGAGAGAGAGAGAGAGAGAGAGAGAGCGAG